CTGGCTGGTCCGCAGTCTTCCTCCAGGGGAGAAAGGTGAGACAGGAGCTGCACCATCACTGGGTAAGTACTTCCTGAAGTCTCTCTTAAATTTTCAAGCATTGCTACCCTGCAGTTATTAGTAAAGAAGAACAAGCCATGACCGGGGCCCAAGGAATCCTAAATGATAGCAAAAGAGCAGCAGAAAGGCCTCAAGGTCCAAAGACACAGGAGGAAGGATTCACCCCACCTGCCCACCAGCCCAGCATCAGGGGTTGGTATAGCCCAAAGTACCGCCGGGTCCAGCCAGCCTCCTAGCCAGCACCCTGACCTATCCCAACTCTAGACATAGTCACAGATGGGACAAAGCACAGAGGGCAGCCAGACACATAAAGGAGCCTGAGGCCAGCAGGGGCAAAACAGGATGGGTGTGCTGGGCTCTTCAGCAACAGGGTCCAGCACCAGCTATGCCAAGCAGAATATGGAATGCTAGGGGATATATCTGTGCTGGGAAGGGACCAAGGAAGAAAATGACATTCATGTCCCCTGCCCAGGTAAGAAGGAACTAGGAGACACCCTGTGCCAGAGAGGTAAGTGACCTCCCAGGTGGCCCCTCCTACCTCATGCCAGCGAGAATACAGTGCAGGAACCAGCATTACTGGGTCCTTTTGCTTGACCCTGGAGCAGGCTCCAGGTACAGGCCAATCCTGCCTGCTTCCCCATGGCACAGGCCCCGGAGCTGCAAAGACATGCTGACACGGGGGACCTTTCTGACTGGCTGGCACACCGTCTATCTTGTGACTGCCCACCACTGACTGTGCTCTGTGACATGGATGTGGATAGTGTGGGCTGGAAGGTGAGGAAGAAGGCTCAATGCAGAGCATATGAAGTTTGCACACAGCAGTCACCCTCGGGAGAGCCAAAGGCAGAAGCCAGAGAGACAGCAAAGTAACCACAAAAAATGCAGTGCTGCTACAAAGGAGACCCTAAGCACGGATAGACCAGAATCTAGAACTCCATGGAGTTAAGTGGGCAATAGGATCCCAATCATGACAGATGCATCAAAATATCTGGCAGCCCTGACTTTTGCACTGGTCACAAGTGTCCACCTTTGTATCCACCTGTGCCACCTGCCCCCTGAAGCCTTGTCCTCATCCACTTCCTTACGGGGGCACAAAAAGAGGGGTGGCCTGCACATATCCCTCATCCCTGCTCCTCAGAGCCCCCCACCCACAGGCTGCCCTGCCCACCCCATAGGCTTCTCAACGACGAGTGAATGGGTCCATCAGCTTCTTCCGAGACTGGGACTCCTATAAAAGAGGCTTTGGCAACCTGGGCACAGAGCTCTGGTTGGGCAGTGACTACCTGCACCTGCTCACTGCCAATGGTGAGGAAGCAGCACCTCAGCCAGCGTGCGCCTGCCCTCCCCAGCTCTGCCTAGCATCAGCCTTTTCCTTCCTCTCCATCCATGTGGCTAGGGAACCAAGAGTTCCGGGTCGTCTTACAAGATTTCCAAGGTGAAACCTCCTATGCCAAGTACAGCTTACTCCGTGTGTCTGGAGAGCAGGAGAGATACAAGCTGACCCTGGGGGAGTTCCTTGGGGGCACTGCAGGTAAATCATGTGGAGCTTGAAGCTGTTATTGGGGACATGGAAAGGGGCCACAAGCTTCCCCTGCCCACCTGGGATGTGCGAATCTTTCTAGGAGACTCCCTGACAGGTCACAGCAACAAGTCATTCACAACCCATGACCAGGATAATGATACAAATAACCAGAATAATTGTGCAGCTTTGTTCCATGGGGTCTGGTGGTATCACTCCTGTCACCAGTCCAACCTCAACGGACACCACTTGCCTGGCTCCCATGAGCTGTGCAGATGGCATCAACTGGTTAAGGGGCTGAGGCCACCGTTACTCCTACAAGGTAGCTGAGATGAATATCTGGGTATCCTAAAGTGACCCTACCCCTACCCCTGCAGCCATGACCAGGCCAAGCGGGGACACGAAAGAAGGGTCACTTTATCATGAGAAGACAGTATCTGTGTGTTGTGTGCTATATGCTTCCTACACTCCCCCCTGAACACCGTCCAGCACATGAACAGTGTGCAATAATAAAAGTCAACAAAGCAGACATAGCGGTCTGAACTCTGGGAGGGTCTGCAGCGGTAAAGGGCAGCAAGCAAGGGAGGTCCCCAAACATCAATGGCAGCCTTGAGGCTGAGACCCAGAGAGTCATCAAGACGACAGCCCTGGGGAGGAGTTGGCACAGCCTTCCAAGACCTGCTTCCAGGAACAAACCCATTAATGAGTGGACGGGCCAAGGGGAGGCCAATTCAGTGCCTGCTGTAGCCCTGAACAGAGGGGTGCAGCAGAGGTCTCATGGGGCTTGGAGTTCCTTCCCAAAGTCTCTCCTACCACAGCAATTCCATAGCCACTCTGGATACAGGGGACACAGATCCAAGTGGTCAGTGCTGAGTATAGTCCCAGAAAACCAAAGGCAGATAGATGGGGGATGGTGACCTCAGGAACTCTGGGAAGACAGTAGGCTCAACAGGGACCTGATGGTGGGCACAGGGAAGCTTTCAATGTCTGGGACTCAGTCAGGAGGAGCCCAGAAGCCACTGGGCAGATGCTCACACTCTACCTAAGAGCAAACTGAGGCCCAAAGGACTGAGTGCTGCTGAGAGCCATCACTGGCTCATTCTCAAGAGACAAGTGTCTCCCTGCTGGAAGGTTCAGAGGGTGAGGGCTACAGTGCAGCCCCATAGCAATGGAGCAGGTAGTTACAGTGTTATGACCAGGCCTAGGAGTACAAAGCCAGGACCCGCCATGGAAAGAAATGCCACATGTAGCCAATCAGGCCAGGAGCTCCCTGACCGTTGATGGCCACACACCTGGCCTTGCCACAGTTTCGGTCATTCAGCAGAGAAAAGTGGGCAGCAAGCACAGGAGGCAGAGGTAGCAACTTGAGTGACACCTACTGGCCTGGACCCTAAGAAACGAGAGCGCCAAAATACTCAAGCTGGCAGAGGCGCCAGTCAGGAGGGTGCAGATGGTACTTACATCCCAAAGGACACAACAAACTAAAGTGACTCTTTGGGGCAAACCTGGGACACCAGGGATAACCACTGTTCCCACGATAGGGGAGCTGCATCTTAAGAGACTCAGCGGGAAACACAAACCCGATCATTGTTGCTCATAGAAGAGGAGGAGGACCAAGGGACAAGTGCAGAACCTGACGGGGAAGGGGAGGCAGCAGAGGCTGAGTGAGAGGCTGGGGTGGGCATGTGAAAACAGAGGGGTCCCCACTCAGGGACCTCTCTCTGGATACCCCGGGGCTCCCAAGAGTCCTGAAGGGAGCAGGCACTGGTAACACCGACTGTACGGTCTTCGTGTCTCGTCTACTTAGGTACCAGCTAATGCCAGTTGGTAGGACTTGAGGGTACATTTTTATTTTTAGGAGCATCTACATTACTCTAGATTTCATACAAAATATTAATGACTTTAAGTAATAAGCAACAATCAATCTTTTTTATAAAGCTTTTCATTTTATGCATATGTGTGTTTATATGTATATGTGTGTTTTGCCTGCATATATGTCTGTGTAGCACATGTGTGCCTGGTACCTATGGAAGCCAAATGAGGAAATCAAAGTCCCTCAGACTGGAGTTATAGATGGTGTGAGCTGCATGTGGGTGTTGGGAATGGAACCTAGGTCCTCTGCAAGAACAGCCAGTGCTCTTAACTGCTGAGCCATCTCTCTAGCACCCAACCATCAATCTTTTTGCTGGGTGGTAGTGGTGGTGGTGGTGCCTGTCTTTAATCTCAGCAGTCAGGAGACAGGTAGATTTCCAGTTTGAGGCTAGCCTGGTCTACAGAGCAAGTTCCAGGACAGCCAGAGCTACACAGAGACCCTTGTCTTGAAAAGCAAAAGCCAAAACAAAAAGGAGGAGAAGGGGGACTCAGCAGATAAGAGCACTCACTACTCAGAGAGGACTGGAGTTCAATTCCCAGCACCAATAGCTTGTCTCTCATAGATGCCTGTAACTTGGAACCAGGGCATCCAATGCTCTCTTCTGACCTGTGCAGGCAACTACACACATGTGCACCTACCCACATACAGCATACGTAACTAAGAAATAAAAAGATGGGGCTGGGTCTTTAAACTGCTTACCATGCAACATGAAGCCCTAAGCCCAACCCCCTTTCCTCCCCTCCCCTCTCCTCTCTCTCTGAAACACACCCTCAAGTTCAGCCAATACTGACCTTCACCTCCCCAGTGCTAGGATGACTTGGGTACACACCACAGCCAGATGCTCAACACACTTTTCACCCAGATATAAATGCCTAGCAAAACCCTAACCCCACCCAAACCTGCTGCCCACAGTCTCTGAGCCCAACCCATACAGCTGAGTCCTGCCACAGACTATTGGGCTACGCCACCAACAAGGCTTCTAATCTGGAGTGAGGGATCTGCAGGGACACTCTATGGTAAGCCACACAACCCACTAGATTCCCTGAAAGGCATTTACGGCTCCTCTCATGCTTGGTTGGCAAAGTCACTATCAGGTGGTCCACACACCTGTGTCCCCAGAGTTCTTTTTCACAAACCATCCAATCTTTCTCCACTCCTGGCTCATACTTTCCAAAACGCTCAGCCCACCAGCTCTCCTCTGGAAACCTCTGGATGTCCCATGTCCTGGCTTCTCCCTGATCAACCAGTACTTTCTAACCTCCTGTGGGCAACCAGACTAGCTCTATGGACTCCTCCATAGGACCCCAGCCCTGGACATAAAACAGGCACCAAAAATGGGCTCAACTGAATTTCTGGAGTTTCAAAAGTCTCTACTCCTTTGTGACTTTTTGAGAATCCTTAATTATAGTCTTAAAGCAAAGTCCTGTCTCATGTAACAAGAACGATCATTGCGCTCTTGAAGGAGTGACGAAAGCCAGGGCTGCTTTCAGTGTCACAAAAGCACCAAGCTTAACTCCAAGACCTGTATGGGTCCAGGGGAGATCCAGTCCCTCCCCTCCCCGCCCACGTGAGCACGTCTAGGTTCCTCCTCTTAGGCCGGGCTTTCGGGAATCCTCTCTGCTAGTTCTGCGCAAGCCCGAGTCTTAGGCCCCGCCCCGCTCCCAGTCTGACTGTCTTCCCTGGAGAACCTGGCCAACCATGGTGAATTTGGGCCTGTCCCGAGTGGATGACGCAGTGGCCGCCAAGCACCCGGTGAGAAAGCTGGCCTGGGGTGCTGGATCTAGGCTTCAGAAGCTGATCTCAAGGAGACTACAGGCAGAGGGAGCTCCGTGAGGGAGTGGCGGAGGGGGGAGATCCTCCTGCCATAGGAATAGAGAAGCTGAATGAGTTTAGGGGAGGGTGGGATCTATCCAGTCCCCAGTGTCCCTACCCAAGGCCAGGTCATGCCCAAAGGAGGAGCAGGAGGGGAGGAGGAAAGGGAATGGAGCATGAACGACAACACCCCCATCCCAGGGACTCGAGGAATATGCCGTGTGCCAGTCGAGCGCCTTCATGAAGGGCGTTTTCACCTTTGTCACAGGTAGGCTGCTTCCAGGGACCTTGGGGTGCAAAAAGGACACACCTTAAAGGGAAAAATGTGTAACCTACTGTCCCACCGTGCCTGCCCAGAAGGTGGCGCCAAGTCATCTTGCCTGCACGGCAGGGGCAGTAAGCACCAAAACCACCACCTTGCAGGCTGATCAACGGATCCTTGGCTCTTGGCAGGCACTGGAGCGACCTTCGGTCTGCAGCTGTTCATTAAGCGGAAGTTTCCATACCCTTTCCAGTGGAGCTTCCTGGTGTCTGCCGGTGAGTATTCCATGATGGGTGCTTAGGCCCTAAAATGCATCCATTACTAGGGACCCTACAACGTTGGTGTGTTTCCGATAAAGGCTGGAGCCCACCCACCCTGTCTACCCAGAAGGAGCATATGCCAGATTTCCTGTGAAAAGCTCAGAGGTTCAGGTCCCCAACTCACCACCCTCCTGCTCTCCAGTTGTAGGATCTGTGGCCAGCTACAAGGTGACAAGAATGGAGTCTCAGAAATGCAGAGATCTCTGGCTCTTCCTGGAGACAGGGAAACTCCCCAAAGACATGGGCACAGGTAGGTGAGAGGGCCCCAGAGGGGCAGCAAGAAGTTTCAGGAAGACAAGCCCATGAGACTCCAATGATACACTGCTCCCCTTCCCTCCAGCCAGTCTTGACTCCCCTGGAGGGGCTGAGGCTAGAGAGATTACAAGGACTGAGAAGAACATTCCCTGGAGGAGGACCCAGGACATTAGGACGGGGCACAGCAGTTACACCGACAAGCCAAAAAAGTGTCTAAGATTGAGACCCTGGATCTGAGGGACCTCGGGCCTGCTTGTTTATTTTGTTCTTCATAGTCCAGGCTGACCTTGAATTCCTGTGTAACCACATCTGACAGGAGCTGTTTTTGTCATGACCGGACAGGATCAGGGACCCTCAAAAACCACACACCTGAATCCAGCTGTCTCCCTTTACGTCTTACAGATCGTCGCAACTAGAAGAGCTCTGGCTGCTGGGGTGTGAAGGATCTGATGCAGGGGAAATCCTGGAGCACAGACTCTGACACCATCTAACTCCAGGCTGACCCTTCGTACTTCACCAAACACACACACACACCCTTGAGTTTCGTCACCTGTCCTCTACACGTGTGCATGGGCAAGCCCGCCTGACAGCCTGTGATGCCATTGCTGCCCCAAATCCAGGACTTGCCAGGAGCCCAGTTCAGAAAAGGGCTTGGGAGAGGGGGTCTCCTCCGGAGCGGCAGGAAGCAGGGTGTCAGAGAGGGCTGTCTGTGTCCTGCCGCTCACAACCGTGGAGGCAGCAATCCAAAGTGGTGAAAGAGACTTGTGTATCGTCTCCAGTGTTTTGGGGTCCCTTTTCTGACCTCTGTGACCCAAGTCCAAGGATAATTATGGAGGGTTGTGGCTAATAAATGGTTTGTCCTTTTCCTGCCTGAGTTCTAACGCAATTAAACAAGAGTTGGTAAGATTGTTCAGTGGTTAAAGTACTTGCTGGTAAGCCTGATTACTTGAGTTTAATCTCCAAGAACCACATAGTGGAAGGAGTAACAACTCTCATGTGTGGTCCTCTAATCTCTACTATGGTAGATGGGTTCCCGTTACACATGCACAGGCACACATGAAATAAATAAATACAGGTATAATATTAAATGGTGGCAGCACATGCCTTTAATCCCTGCACTCAGGAGTCAGAGGCAGGCAGATCTCTCTTTTTTTTTTTTTTTTTTTTTTTTTTTGGTTTTACAAGACAGGGTTTCTCTGTATTGTTTTGGAGGCTGTCAGTCCAGCCCGGCCTCGAACTCACAGAGATCCACCTGCCTCTGCCTCCCGAGTGCTGGGATTAAAGGCGTGCACCACCACTCCCCGGCTAGCAGGCAGATCTCTTGAGTTCAAGGCTGGCCTGATCTACAGAGCGAGTTCTAGGATAGCCTAGGGGTCCACAGAGAAACCATGTCTCAAAAAACCAAAAGAAAAAAAGAGAAACAAAAAGAATGTAGGGGTGAAAAGATGTGGTCATGCAGACGTTCCTAATGTAGAACAGCTCCAGAACCAGATGTTCCTTCCAGCCATCTAGGCCATGTAGTTACATCAATGCTTCTCTTCCTGCAAGTCTGGGGCGGAACAGACGTAGGAGCTGCCAGAGTCCAGGCAGGGGCATGAGTCATGCCCACCTACTTGGCATCGGTGAAGACCCTTCCCCAAGAAGTTACAAGCAGCAGAGCTCCAAAGGAAATGGATGGGGGAGTGAGACCACGCATACCAACCAGCCCCATTAAAAGGAACAGAGATGGCCCCAACCTTGCATTCCAGGAACACAAAGTCTTGGCCTCCGCCTGCTCGTTCACCTCTACCGAGCTTGTCAACTGGATGTCTATGCGAATAAAGTGGTGGGCAAAGCGGCAGTAGGCCTCACATAGTAGAAGCTTGAGCTCCTATCAGTGTGTGTGCTGGTGCCAACAACATACTGCAGACTTGGGCAGATTAAAATAATTTTAAAAAAACATGTTTTAGCCCATGGTTCTGGAGGCCCAAGGCCCAACAGCCATTTGGTGGTGGCTGTCATTCTGGCAGAGTCCAGAAACATCATAGGTCACATGGCCAGAAAAAAAAGTATACATGTTGCATCATCTTCCTATAAAGCCATCAAGGTTTGGCCATGGTGGCTCTACCCTGGTAACTTAAATTCTTATCATCTCTCAAAGGCCCCACCTTAAATGACACAGTCCTGTTTTCTACCCTCTTAAAACCTCACAATGGGGTGGAGGTGGGGGTAAACTCCAGCATGAGCTTTGGAGGACAAGCCATCTTCAAGCCCTGGCAATGTCTTAAAAGTTCCCCTCGATCTCTTCCTTATTGTAATGGCTCCCACTTCTCAACCTAGCTCACCAGCTCTGGCTACTGCGTCTTCATCCCATTTAACAGAAAGAAGAAAGGGGGAGGAGGACGGTTCTTCCACACTACTGGCCAGAACTAAGACACATGGTACATCTGCTGACCCAGGAAGGCAGCCTTGCTCTGGACAGACATTCGTCCCACTAAAATTCAGGAGTTCTGTATCTGAGGGAAAAGAAATAGTCAATACTAGGGGATATAAGTTGACTCTGCCTCAGCTGGATACCAGGCTGGGACACCAAAAACTAGGGAGGTAAGGTGAGCAGCCATGGCCATAGCAGGTCCTTCCAGCCCTCTTGAGGATGAGGCATAGACCAGAAGGGAGTCAAGGGGTAAACAGAGTTTAGACTGAACAGGAAAGTGTCTAAATGTAAGGGATCCATGTGAGAAGACATAGGAAGATAGACACCAATGTGTCCTGTGTTATACACACGGTCTGACTACATAGCCCCCCAAATTCATACACTGAAGTACTAACCCACAGGATCTCAGAAGGCAACTGCTGGAGATGAGTCCTTTAATGAAGTGATTAGGGCTAACTGATGCTATGGGGACTAATCAGTCTTTCTGGCATCCTTGTAAGAGGAGGCTGGGACACAGACGGGCACAGAGGGACAACCACATGAGATCACAGGACCAGAAAGTATTGCCAGCCGAGGGGACACACAGCAGAAGAACCAGCCATGCAACACCCTGACCCAGCCTTCTATCTCCAGACTGAAGAATAAATGCCTGAAGAGTAAGTTTCCCACTGGTGCTTGGTTATGCAGACTAGGTTGCAGAAAGTGTCTGCTCACAAGCCCCCATGGTGTTTGGGGTTGCTGATTGCTCCCGGCATACTACTCGAAGGGAAGGGATAGGGCGTGTTTGCGTGGACTTGCCCCTGCCAATGACTTGTGAACCACGGTCCTGGGAGCTGAGGAAGGTGGGAGTCAGGTAGGGTGGCACCAGACAGGCACAGTTCTGGGAAAGCTGGAAGAGACAGACCAGTGACGGGCAGAAGCTGGGGTGGGATTCCAGGTCACCCGGTGCCTGGGCTTCCAACTACGAGTATGGAGAGAGAAAGAGGTCTCACCAAGCACTGACATTGAGGTTAGAAGTGGGGGGCGCAGTCAGCTGCTTTGTGGCCCTAGGGGCAGGGGAGGGAGCAGGAAAGTGGGGTGGGGGGTCCTGGGTGAGGTGGTGTATCACAAACTTCCCACCACTACCAAAAGGTCTCTGGTGTCCAATGGAGCTCCTGAAGCAGCAGCCTCAAGACTCATTTCCCTTAGGGCAAGCACCCTGAGGATGAAATCCTGGAAGGATGGAATTTCAGGGTTCCCAGGGCATTGAGAATCTTGGTCCCATCACAATGACCTGAAATTCCAAGGACAATCTCAACCCAGGCTCAGTTGAGCAGGCAACTGTGCAGGGCAGGCGAGAGGCACACGGGACCCCTGGAGGACCTTTAGGCCCACCATGAAGATTCACAACGAAGCGTCTGTGGAGATACAGATACAGGAGCTAAGGACCATCACTCGGCTCCAGGGTGAGCCTCACACTGAGGACTGCCACTCTGGCAACTTGCCATCCTACTACCCACCCAGGACCCCACAGTGGGCAAAAATCACAGAAGGGTCTGCCACGTGAGGGGAGCTTCAAGGAGATTTGTACATTAACCACAATATTGTTCCAAAGTTGGAGGTGCCGAGGAGGAATCTGCCTGTTTCTGGGCATAGGAGCTCTGAAAGAGACAGGGTTCCCCATCCCTGGTCTTAGCCTCCTCCCTCACACTCTGTACTCTCTGGAGAGCCTTGCAGATTACCACTTTGAGCAGGGAAGCCTGTGTCTTGCAGAACAGGGAAGGGGAAGAGGAGAGCCATGGTCAAAATGCTGTACTCCACTAGCCTCTCTGGGTATTTTGCTGAGATTTTCAGTCAGTCCCTTGGCCTACTGTCTGGTAATCTTGTTCCCTCTGTCACCTACAGAACAATGTCGGGCGCTCCAGATCCAGAGCGTGAAGGAGAAGACAGCACAGAACAAGGCTACACTGAGCCTCCTGCGCAGCAACCTCCGTCGAGGGGCCCAGGACTGGGCTTTGGCTAAGAAGGTGCGAAAGCCTCACTCCCTTCCTGGTCTGGAGACTAGGAGGTGGCTGCTCACTTCACACAGGCACTTACCCTACCCCTTTCTCTGGACCGGAAGGCCTGCCGGGATGGATACCTTTGTGACTGGTACCCAGGGCAGGTTCCCCAACACCCACCTGGAGTGCTTAGCACTTGCAGCAGGGACTCCTTGGGCTCTCTGACCTCCTTTCCGAACCCCATCACACTGGAGTAGGGATGTCCCTGGAGGGGGTACTGCTCACTCTGCTCAGGGGTCCCAGGACCAACGGTCTCCTTGCTGGGCTAGTGGTGAGTAAGTGGCTCTGAGGGGATATTCCTGAGTTATCAGTGTCAAGGGAAAGGCAAAAGGGTCAGGCTCCCGGCTCAGCCACCACCGCTCCACAGTATGATCAGTGGACCATCTCCAAGGCCTGCGCGAAGGATACGTCCATGAAGCTGGCACACTGCCGCAGTACTATGGAGGTAACGAGGGAGAGAGGACAGGGGTGGGGTGGGGTGAGGGTGGGGGACACGGACACAAGGACCAAAAGGATGACTTGCCCTCTCAGCCCCAGTTCCCGAGGCTCGCCCACAGTAAATGTTGCCTATTAGCAGGCCAGAGGCCGGCGGAAAGCGAAGCACGTTCCCTTCTCTTGCTTCCTATGGGGCAGCTGCGGGTCCCCACCTGCAGCCTCCCTGGGGTCTCTGCTGCGCTCCCTCTTGCACCCACACGCGGGCGCCCTTCCGGACCCAGGTGGCTCGGGAAAAGCTGCGTAAGTACGTCTTCGACCGTGTGAATGCACACAACGTGCTGATCCATCTAGCTCGGCGACGGGGACAGAAGCTGGAGAGCTTGCAGCTGGAACTGGCCAGCCTGCGGAACCAGCCTGATGCCACTAAGGATGAGCTAAAGCTGCTGCAGGTGCGGGCGGGGACGGGGCTCCAACCGTGTGCCAGAACTTCCGGGAGGGGCGGGACTGAGTGAGGAGGACTCCGAAAGGGTGGTTCTATGCCGGAGGATGTGTTACAAGGACAGAGGTCCACCTTCAGACAGGGGACCCTGTATTAGGGCTGGACCGCTGATTAGGCAGGGATCTGCGGGAAGGGCGTCTCCTTGGTGAGGATCTTTGTAAGACAAAAGCAAGTACTTTAGTTGCTGAAACTGGCCTCCAGCGAAGGGGTGGGACTACAAATAGAAAAACCTACCAACACTGAGTGGGAACCCGAAGGCCGGAGATGTTTTATCACACAGCTGTAAACAAAGTCATTTTATACATGGTGACTAGGTGGTGGATAAAATGTACAATAACGCCGGGCGTTGGTGGCGCACGCCTTTAATCCCAGCACTTGGGAGGCAGAGGCAGGTGGATCTCTGTGAGTCGAGGCCAGCCTGGTCTACAGAGCGAGTTCCAGGAAAGCCTCCAAAACAATACAGAGAAACCCTGTCTCGAAAAAAACAAACAAACAAACAAAAAAAACAGAACAAAAAAAATGTACAATAACGGCTTCACCTGCAGGGCCTGGTGGCAGGGGCAAGGCTTGTGTGAAAGGCCAGCCTCTCACTCCCGTCACTCACTCACCCCGTGCCCTCCTGAACAGGGTTCTGCCTCTTCACACCTGATCTGAGGTTTCTGGGAGGTGGGTCTTGTCACCAAGCCTTTTCAGTGATCCGACTCCACCACTACCATCAGATTATCCGCCAGCTGGAGAACAACATTGAAAAGACCACGATCAAGATCACCACCAGCCAGAACATCCACATGTTGTACATAGAGCTGCTGGATTATCTGAAGAAGGTGAGACCCTCACCCAGGGAGCCCCACCTGCCGCCCTCTTCCAAGCAGCCAGCAAAGCAGCCCTAAAAGTGTGTGGAAACTTTCCTTAGAGAACTTCATTTCTGTTGAACCATATGAGCATATTAGGGGGTACACTGGTTATTTGGGCTTAAGCCTTGGCATGGTAGCACAGGTCTGTGATTTCAGCAGGGTTTACACAGTAAGACTGTCTCAAAAACAGATAGATGCAAATCATCACACACACACCAGACTTTTTTCTTTCGTGTATTAAACAGTTTAGTTTGGGTCTTTGAGGGTCAAAGCTGGGCCATACTCCCCTCCCAGGAAGTTCCCTAACATGGTTCAGGTTAGACTCCTTTCCCACCTCCCAAAATATGCTGAACACACAGCTTCCTGAGCACTGGGCTGGCCTTCTGTATTGGAAGCAGGAGGATGCAGATTCTGACCCGTGGAGCCCCAGGGAACCATGGCCGTGAATCTTACTAGGCACACTCCCACTATAGCTCCCACAGAGCAGAGCATCTGGAGTGGAAGTGGGGGAGAAAGGGCTTCAGGGCAGCAGGGTATTGAGAGCTGCATGGTGGACAGACCTGAAAAGGTGGCCAGGAGAAACCCCTAATGCCTTCACCCTAAGAAAGGGAGTAAATGAGTGGCGTGCCATCGCTAGGGAGCAAGGGCTGGTGTGTGGGCAGATACAACAGCTTCTCCCTGCGGGGGTCAGGGAGCCAGGATCTCAGCATCATGCTCTGGTCTGTCCCTCTTACCTGACCCTAGTGCAGCAGGCTCAACTGGAGGCCCCGCCCACTTTTCCTTCCTGTGTCAACCCCTCCCCACACCTTCACTGGGTGTTCTTTGTAGGACTTTCTTTCCAGAACAAACACACTTGAGGCAGATCCCCATATCCACATTTTTTTAATTGGCAAAGATTCAGCATGTACAGGTTTTAACAGCAAAATCTCAACAGCTAGGCTTCCTTGTCTATAGATGCACCTAGCCTTGTGCTAAATATGCTATCTTCTCCATCCATCCTAACAGAAACCTTCCAGAAAAGTCAGGATTACCTTAGAAAAGCTAGGTGTGATCCCAAGATCACATAGCTAGCTGGTTGGAAGTGAACGTCACTTTGAACCCTATCTGGCTCCATGTCCATCTTTCAAGCCCCTCTGTTCCACTTCAGACCAAAGATGCCTCCAAGCAAACCATCCTGGGTTTAGAGTTGACCTCTGCTGGGGTACAACACTGAGTCAGTCATCACATCTTCTTGTCCTGGGTAGTGAGAGTTCATAGATCACCAATGACTATCCATCCATACTAGAGCACTTGTTTCTCCTGTGACCTGCCCAGAGGCTGGGCCACTGACAGAACCCCTACCCTGTTCCCAGGCTCACACAGTCTGGGAATGAAGGATGGAAGAGAATCAGAGAGCTCAGGAAAGCCAGCATAGGGTATGATGGCACCAAAGGGAGCCATGGCTTCATGACCATGTTGCCTTTGCCCATCCTGATAGGTTCTGGCAGGCTATCCCACAGAGCTAGACAAGCTTCAGAACCTGGTGACCAACTACTGCTCAGAGCTGTCAGATATGACAGTCATGTCCCAAGATGCCATGATGATTACTGATGAGGTCAAGGTGAGTTCCAGGATTGGGGAACCATCAATTGCTGGCTGGCCTGATCCTATCTTGTTCAGGACCCATCTGAACATCCTATGCCTACACTACCCATTATCCCTGAAGAAATCCATTCTCAGCCTTGCCAGTTGACCTACTCACCCATGGGACAGAGAAACTTGATTTGGGGACAGAGGCCATAATAGATGTGGCCAGAACGGGGGCATCTATTCACCTTATCACTACCAGAATCCCTGTCTCTAGGGAGACAGGACTAGGGGCCCAGCAAGCCCCATCCTCCTGATGTGGGCAATTCATCTAGTAGCCCACCATATCATATCTCCGTCAGTATGGCAGAAAGAGGCAATGGGTTTCAGAAATCTCTAGGGTGGATTTCCAAGGAAATATGCTTGAATAGGCTCTGAAAGGCCAGCGCAAAGTCCAGGGGGAATCAGAGCACAGAGGGTGACATAGCTTCCCTGCATGAGTCAGTGGAGGCTACAGGGTCCTTAGGCTTACTTCCTCCGAGAAGATATAGGGACACACGGTCAGACTGAGCTGTGTGCTGGGCACGGTGGCACACGCCTTTAATCCCAGCACTCAGGAGGCAGGGTCAGGCAGATCTCTGAGTTCAAGATCAGCCTGGGCTACAGAGCGAGTTCCAGGAGAGCTAGGTCTGCACAGAGAAACCCTGTCTTGGAAACAAGCAACAAACAAAAACCCACCACAGATTGTATTTTATAGTGGCATGCATTGACTGCAGGTTCCAGAAGGTGCCAGAGCAGAGCCACTGGCTGTGTGGCTGGGCCAGTGGTATAACAGGGGTGGCCAGAAGCAGACAGGGCAGGGAAATTTTTAAGGGGTGACCACAGTGGCCTCAATAGGAGTGGTGAGAGAGAAAGAGAGCAGAAGTAGGGAAGGAGGGATGATAACTTTCAGCCACAAGAGCAGAATGGAAGAGAGACCGGGTTTGAGAATAAAGGGGATGAATATCTTTTAGATGTGTTAAATCCAATTTAATGAGTTCTAAGTGGAACAGGCCAGGGGGCAGCTAAAGGCCCGGGACTGGAGGAAAGGAGAGAGCCTGGGCTAGAGGGAAAAGTCAGTAGGCATGTGTTAGCCAGGAGTCTCTGCAAAGGGGGCACCAAGAAGACAGTGGAGCCAGTAAGAAGAAAAGGATAGCCAGCTCTCTTCCACAGTCCAATGGGATGAGGACTAAAAACTGGCCCCTGGCTTTAGGACCCTGGGAGGGCCCTTGGTGAGACAGTGTCCCCACTGAATCTTTATGTCCCCAGAGGAACATGAGGCAGAGGGAGGCGACCTTCATCGAGGAGCGAAGGGCACGGGAGAACCGGCTGAATCAGCAGAAGAAGCTCATTGACAAGATCCACACCAAGGAGACCAGCGAGAAGTACCGCCGTGTACATCTTGAGCCACGCCCCATGGCAGCCCTCACCCACTGGGGGAAGAGTAGGGGGGAGCCTTCACGTCTCGGTCTCACCTGGCTCTCTCTCCCATCAGGGCCGGAGGGACTTGGATTTCCCCTCCAATCTGATGAGTACAGAGACCACAAAGGGTGAGCCTCAGCGCCTTGCCTTGTCCAGCTAAGGTCTCCAGTAGCCAGCAGTGACTGGGACTGCCCAGCCAGGTCACCGTGAGGCCAGTGGTCACGAGGGTGAGGAAGACAGACAGCCCCTGCCTCTCCCTGACTGTCCCTGAAGAACCTGAGGGCCTATGGCACAAGGTGGCTGCAGGGATGCCATCTCTAGTAACTAGAGCTCGGTCACCCAGTGACATCTCAGAACTGCTTCCCAGAGCCACGTGATACCATGCTGCTCCCGGCCCTTGTCTGTTCTTGAGTTTCCCAAGGTACTCTGAAGGGTCAGGCTGAGGAGAGCAGGTATGGGTACCACATGAGGCTTCTTTGAAGCCTGAGTGTTTATAGAGTCACCAGATAGCCACTCTTGCACACTGACTAGACCTCCTTCTCTACTCTGTCCAGTGAGGAAAAGAGAAACTTCCATAGCAGACATGGAATACCAGACAGAAGTGACTGCCTTAGTAGAGAAGGTCAAATCCGCTGTGCAGTGCTCCCACCTCTGGGTGAGTCTCCCTGACCCTTGGAGAGTGACTAAGCTAGGCCAGGGCATAGGGTGCTCTGCAAAAAGTTCACAAAACTTAACCTTCCCCTTGGAGGTTCCCAAACATGATGCTCTCAAGCCTGGAAAAAATTTTTTTGAGGTATGAAGATACCTCCAGTATATGGATGGCATGTCCCCACAATATTCTATATACAGGACAGAGTCTGCCAGATTTTGAAAGTCCAAATGCTAAGGACCTGGCCCCAACTTGACAGTCACAGTGAACAGCTGCTTCTTTTTGTCATAGACAGGTCTACCTGAGTTACCACTGTCAGGCCTTGAGCTCCCATCCATCTTGACTGAAGGTGACACATGGTTACTTACCCTCTGCCTGTCAGGAAAGCCACATATCAGGACATGTACAGGCAACCCTCTGCCTAGCCCCTCATGAACCTTAGTGCCCAAAGTAGCCAGTGTTATGGCTGAGCCCTAAGTACCAGGAAGCCGCACTAGCCATTGGGAAGAGCTAGGAGGCCCCACTACCTTTCAGACACACACCTGTCTCTCCCTGCCCTGGGCTGGTTAGGACATAGCTGGCCGCTTCCTGGCCCAGAAGAATACAGAGGAGAACCTGGAGCTACAGATGGAGGACTGTGAGGAGCGACGGACACAGCTGGAGGCCCTGATGAAGAAGCTGGAGCTTGAAGAGGCGCTGCTCAAGTTCCACCAGACACCCAGCACTGTTGGGTATGTTCCAGGGCTGCCGGATGGCCCCACGGGTACAAGCTGCACACAGCTATTGCCAATAAGCCTGTGCATCTGCGGCGGAGCTGAGGACCCACCTGCTTGAAGCTGAATCTATGAGCCCCTGAAGCTGACACAACACCCGGTTCAGGACCCCCGTGGGCCCTGAGTACTGCCCCACCCTTAACTGCTGTGCCTGCCTTCTCTGCAGCTTTAGTTCCATCGAGAAAAAGATGAAGACCATGCTGGAAGAGGAAGAAGCAAGGCTCCAGCTGGCCTACAACAACATGACTAAGAGCCAGCAGCTGCTACTGGCCATCCAGACGGGTATTGACAACCTCTACATCCGGCTCATTGGCATCACCTTGCCAGCCACCCAGGTACCAGCCAGCCCCGGGATGGGGAGCTGCTGTGCACGGAGGTCCTCAGGTGGGGCCGCCAGAAAAACAAGCTGCCCCTCCGGCCCACAGAAGGAAGTAGCAATCTCTGACACCCTTGACGTGCACGGCAAGCTGGAGTATTGCGAGGGGAAGCTCATATACCTGGTTGACCGCATGCAGATGCTGTCCAGAAATGAGGAGGTAGCCCTGGGCCATGGAGGGGTACCTGCGAAGCCCAAGCCCTCTCCAGGCTGATAAAGGGTGCCGCCCTGCAGGTGGACACAAAGGTGAGAGACGCCCTGGAGTCTTCAACTCTAAAGGAGAAACATAATACCAGAATTACCTTTGAGGACCAAGAGGAGGACATGATAGGTGAGGTCCTGGGTACCAACCACAGGGAGGAGGATGGAGAAGTTGGAACAGAGACCATAGCTGGAACTAGATAGAGTCTGAACTCAAGTCAAGAGATGGCATACACTCTGCCTGACTCGAACACGGGCAAATTGGGTGCTAAAGGGAAAGTTTGTTTGTTTGTTTGGTTGGTTTTGGTTTGTTTGTTTTTGAGACAGGGTTTCTCTGTGTAACAGCCCTAGCTGTTCTGGAACTGGCTCTATAGACCAGGCTGGCCTCAAACTCACAGAGATCCACTTGCCTCTGCCTCCCAACTGCTGGGAAAGGTTTTAATTAATAGAGGTGATAGAGGTTAACCTTTAGGGGAACTTGTTATTTTTTCTGAGACAAAGGAGCATACCATGTCATAGGCCAGAAAGGAGTCCAGAACAAACCTTTAGTGGAATTTCTGCTGCAAAGGCAGGGTAGGTGAACGGAGGATGGCTAATCTTGGCAAACGCTGGTTCCTTGGCACCTGGCCTTGGGTGACTTAGGGCAGGGTCGGTCGGATCACAAGAGTCTTCAGTCATCGATCCATCTCTGAGATGAGCTCCACACACAGGAGGAGGCCCATGGCAGCAAAAGCAAATGGGTAAAAGGGGGTGGGGAGTGTCTCTGTCTCTGAAAAGAGGGAGCAAGTCACTCCTTTCTTACTTGTGTAGAAACCTTCCAGTTTGCGGACGTGGACCATAGCTACGTCCCTTCGCGGGCCGAGATAAAGAAACAGGGCCAGCGGCTGATTGAGGGGAGGCTCAAGGTATCCAAAAAGAAGAAGAAGTAGCCCTGTCCGGGCTTTAGTACACAAATAAACATTTTTCCAGAACTACCCTAGAGAAACGAGAAGCCACTTAACTTTGAGGGCGGGGAGGCTCGGCTCGGACTGGGGAATGAAGGGGAGGGGCTGCTCGAAAGGGGCGGGATCTAGCGCGTCCGCTGCGCATGCGGCGTCTACGTGTCCTTTTCGGCGCTCCGTAGCCTCGCCGGCGCGAAGATGGCGGCGCTGACGGGTGCTCGGCCGCTGCGCCGAGGGCCGCGGGAGCAGGAGCGGAGCCACAGAGGCTGAGGCCCTAGAGCCTCGCTCGAGGCCGCTCCCACCGTCGGGCCTCGGCTTGTTGCCTCGCCTGCTCCTGCTTCTGAGGGAAGCCTGGGCCGGCCGGACATGGTGCGAGGCGCGCTGCGCTACTGCTGCTGCCGCTGCCGCTGCCGCTGCCGCTGAGCTCGCGGGCCGCGCCCGGCTCGCACGTCCGGCAGGAAGATGTTCTCGGCGTTGAAGAAGCTGGTGGGGTCGGAGCAGGCCCCGGGCCGGGACAAAAACATCCCCGCCGGGTTGCAGTCCATGAACCAGGCGCTGCAGAGGCGCTTCGCTAAGGGGGTTCAATACAACAGTGAGTGCGGGCCGCGCTGTCGGGCAGGCCGGGGCGGCTGGCGGTGCCTGGGGGGGCCTCCACCCTTCCCGAGGGGGTCTGGGGGAACCAGAGGGACCGGCGGGTGGACGGGGTCCTTGGGCTCTGAATAATGGTCGCTCCTTGAGGGTCGTCACCTCGCAGGACACCTGCAGAGAAGAGCTGTGCAGCGACACTGGCAGCACTGGCGGAGCAGCGGTGGAGGACCCTGATCGGTGCGGGTACCCTGCCGAAGGAGACCATTACATAACGCGAGGGTGCGCGCGCGGGTCCGTGGCTAGTGGTTCGGTGCCGGCTGCCTCCCCTCCGGACCCCGGCGCGTGCTCACACTCGAGGCTCCTGAAAGTCGGCCTTCTCTGGCCTTGAGCCGTGGGATTTTTGTTGTTGTTCACTTCGAAGCCAATTTGCAAACAGTATCCACCACGCCAAACGTTCTGTCCCCCCCCCCCCTTTTTTTTTTGAAGACGAAGAAGGGTTTTGTAAGGGATATATTTTTAAAAGTTCCAAAAGGCACTAACTGCATTCTTGCCCTCCCCCAGAAAGAAAGGCCCGCTCTACCCCTTGTTATAAATTATGTATGTATGCATCTAGAAGCAGACCGTCCTCTTGACCTCTTTAAAGTTTTTCCATTTGGAGGCTCTTTTCTAGGCACTCCTCTGTTCCGACATTGTTTACTTCTCGACTGTATACTGCTAGTCTTTTGACTCACACCCCCCAGCACACACTGCCCACGTTCATCGGTGTCTTACAGGGTCAGTAGTATTTGGATGATATTGTAACATTATGAAATGTATCAGGCGGATTTTGAACACTTTCGAAGCAAGTACTTCATACGTGTTAACTTGAAAGTTTGTATCTCTCTTGAGTCTACAGGAGAGAATATTGAGTCGAAATATTCAGAGACTTGTATTCTTTGGAGTCTACATTGGGATTCCTTTTATTTATATAGTATTGCTTAAACCTAATCCTAGAAATTAGGTCTGAACTGGAAGTTTCTCACTAACCCTGTTCCCTGCTGGACCCGCCCCCTGGTGGTCCTGATAGGAGGGACCCAGAAGAGCTGGTCTTCATATTTTCTGAAATCTCTTACTTAGGGAAACAAACCAGCCATATAATAAATACAGATGCACAGTTCTTTAAAGAGGCACAGCTAACTTGATGCTTCCCAAGCACTGAATTGTCTGTTACAGAATGCTGTCCTCCAGGGGCACAATCCTTTTTCTTTTAAATGTGTCAAGAGTAATGAGCTCAGACAGAGCATTGGTGGCACATGCCTTTAATCCCATCACTTGGGAAGCAGGGACAGGTGGAAAGAACAAACTCCAAGAATTCTATCATTTTAACACACTACACAGATCACCACATCATTGTGAGTTGTCTGAATTTCAAAAGCAAACAGAGGAAACTACAGCCAGAGTAAAGTTATCATATTCTAAGGAGCAGCACTGAATTGATGACCCACCTAGTATTCCATACACTTATGCTAAAATGCTGCTGAACTCATGTTCAGTGTATGATTGACAGCTTACTGAGCAGAGATCCTTGCAGAAGTAAATACTGAAGGATGTTCTTTAGATAAATGGAACTTAAGCTGAAGAGATAGGCGTGGAACTAAAAACTAAAAAAAAGCAAAGGAATGAGTCCATATGTGGTGAGCCCTAAATAAGCAGCGATTATATTAGTCATCAGTAATAGTGGGTTTTATGAGCATTTTTTTCTTTTTTGCAATACTGAAATAGTTGGAATCAGCCCCTAGTACAGAATAGAGTTAATCAGAGTCATGGCATTCACATTTGTGGGGGAGGAGTCCAAGACAGGATATTACTATGTATATGTAGTTTTGGCTGTCCTGGTACTGTGTAGACCAGGTTCGTCACAAACTTGTAGAGACCTGCCTGCCTTTGCCTCCCAAATGCTGAGATTAAAGGGATGCACCACGACATCTGGCATGGCATTCAGAAATTTGTTAACTTTAGACTATATTACAGTAAGTGTGAATGTTAAAAAGTGTATTACAACTCTTCCAACTATATGCCAGGCAAAATAAGGAAAAGTTTTGCTCAACTTAATAAAAGGCAGAGTTGGCCGGGAGGAAACTAAAGAAGTAACTAGAACACTGTTTTAGCCAGGTGGTGGTGGCACACTCAGGAGGCAGAGGCAGGTGGATCTCTGTGAGTTCAAGCCTGGTCTACAGAGCAAGCTTCAGGATAGGCTCCAAAGCTACAGAGAAACCCTGTCTTGGAAAACCTAAAACAAACAAAAAGCCTGTTTTATAATGTTTATACAGGAATGTGCATGCCTTGGTGCACATGTGGCAATCAGAGGACACCTTGCAGAGATTAGTTTTCTCCACCGTATGACTCTCGGGGTCAAACTAGGGTTGTTAGGCTTGGTGGCAAGGGCCCTTACCTGCTGAGCCATTAAGCCAATCTCGCTTATTTTTTCCCCTTTTTTTCTGTTATTGGAGATAGCGTCTAGGTTCCCACTAAGCTTGTACACTACTGCTGAGCTATATCCCCAGCTCCTAAAAATATATTGAATAATTCCATTTCTATTAGCAGTCACAATGCAATAAAAAAAAAGTCGGTGAGAAAAAAATCCTCCAATTGGGCCATATGGTCTTTGAAAGCTACATTTAGAATATAACAGCAAAGGGTTGGAATAAAAAGTTGGAAAAGGAAAGTTGGCAGAAGACTGCCCAACTATGGCCTGGTCAGCTGTAACTGCAGTAATGTCATGCAGCGCACACTTTGGGGTGAAGAGAATGGGTTGTGGTAAAGGAGGTAAGGGTCTGTATTCTATGTTTTTGTTTTGAAATAGAGAGTTACTATCCTGCTCAAACTGTTGAACTTGTATGATCAACTGGTCTTCCTATATCAGTGTCCTGAGTAGCTGAAACTTGAACTGGAATTAGGGGTGGTTGTGAGCTGCCGTGTGGGTGCTGGGAATTGAAGCTGGGTCTTCTGGAAGAGGCTTTTAACTACTGTGCCATCTCTAGCCCGAGGTTCCACAACTTAAAGGTGACCTCCTACCAATATCATGTTAGGACCAAACTTTTAAAACACATTGGCTACAATTGGGGGGAATTTAAGATCCAGATGGCAAAAATTTCCAAATAGTTTGAGTCCATGAAGAAATTACTTGGAAACTAGAAAGTACTTTGAGTGGGTGTAGGTATGCAGGCCTTTGATCCCAGCATGGCGGAGGCAGAGGCAGGTCTCCATAGCTAATTCCAGGCCAACCAAGTCTGCATAGAGAGACTGTTTCAAAGAAAGAGCTGGAGGTCTGGAGAGATAGCTTAGGGGTTAAGATACTGGCTGTTTTTTCCAGAAGACCCAGGTTCAATTCCCAGTACCACATGGCAGCTCACAACTGTTTATAACTTCAGTTCTAGGGAATGTGACACCTTCCTCTCCTTAAGATCCTGCATGCACTTGAGGCACATGAATTCACATAACCACACACACATACTCATAAAAGCAAAGTTTTTTTTTTTAAGGTAAAACACATAAAGAATCTATATCTAGGGCTGGAAAGATGTCCGTGGTTAAAAGTGCTTGTTGCTTTTCAGTGGGACCTGAGAGAGACTTTATTGGAGCTCACAGTAGCAGCAGTCAGGTGGGCATGGCTCTGAGAGCTTATATGTTATCTACAAGCAGCAGGCAGAAAGACTGGGCCTGCCACAGGCTGATGAAATCTCAAAGCCCAATCCCAGTGACAAACCTCCTAATCTTCCTAATCTGTCAAATATATGCGCTTATGGGGACCATTCTCATTCTAATCACTATAAAGTGGTAGGGTTTGTGGGAAGGGGTAGCCACATGGGGTCAGGCACATCCCTTGAGTCCAGCTGAGCTGTGAGCTTTCAGATACTGTAAATGGTTTAGAAGTGAGGAGGGACTTAACTGCAGGCAGACCAGACAGCCTAGGAGAAGCAGGTTGGCAGAGGAACCCACAGCTTTTTGCCCTACCTCTTAAGCTTCCACATCTTTCTAGATCCTTCTCTGATTTGCTCCTGGAAGTCTTACAGACAAGCTGGAACACTTGCACTTAAAGGTGTTTTTAATGGCAATATCAACCCTCTCCATGTCCCATGGGGCTGCCCAGGAAGCACCAGCCTAACATCCATGCCTTCCCTGCCCATCTCAGCATCCTCAGTCACTCATGACTCTGGCCCCACCTACCTAAGGTGTCAGTCTTCCCAGCCTGTCCCCTCTCCTTTGCTCCTGGCTTTGTTGATAGTGTTAGTTTCAAACTGCTCTT